GCCCCCAACGCGCAACCCCAACCTGTGTCACCGTGATGGGGCAAGGACGGGGGGGGGGACACACACTGACAACACCCACCGTGACCCCGGTTGCCCCCCCTCCCCAAAACCCCTGGGAGGGGAGGGGGAAGGAAGGGGTTGCTCGTCTCCATGGGGCTGCCCATGGGGTGGCGTGCGGGGAACCCAGGGTGAAGAGGAGGAGGAGGAAGGAGGAGGAGGAAGAGGAGGAGGAGGAAGGTGAGTGGGTGCTGCCCATATATATACTCACTACACGGAGCAAACCCGGCAAAGGAGAGACTCACTTGAGGGAAAGGCGCGGGTCACCGTACGGGGCGTAAGGTGAAATGTTTAGTATAAACTCCTTGGGAGGGTAGGAGCTCCATTTCTGCTGCACTGTGTTGTCATTGTTATTCCAAAAGTCTCTGTCTAGATCGCTACAGCGGCCGGAGACCAGGGGAGAAAGAAAAGGGAAATACAAGAGAGAAAAAGCTGAATTCCTGGCGAGAAGTCAGGAGGGGGAAAGGAAGAAAGAAAATAAAAATAAAAAAGCCGCCCTCCGCCCCCGGAGCGCCGGGATCCTGCGGAGAGAGAGACAGGGCGCCGCGGCCGCCCACCCCTCGGACACTGACACACACACCACAACACACACACACACGATGGACAGACAGACAGATGGATGGATGGAGGGACGGACGGAGCAGGGCAGAGCTGTGGAGAGACAGGAGCGGGTGGCTGGGAAGGAAGAGAAGGATGGAGCTGGGGTTAGAAAGGTGCCGGCAAGGTGTGTGTCCCCCCCCGGGGGGCACACGTGTCCGTGTGTCCTGGGCACACGTTTCTGTGCATCCCTGATGCACGTGTCCGTCTGGACGTCCTGGCCTCCTTGGGCAGCCGGGTCCTGGAAGCTCAGGCTGCTGGGTTAAATGTGATGCTGCTGCTTTTTGAAGACCCCTCCAACCAAACCATCGCCGTCAGCAGCGAGGCAGAACCTCCCCGCTCCAGCCAAGCCACCCGTGGCACCCAGTTGCCCGGTCCCAGCTGCCTGCTGGGGGCTGTAGAGCCAAGCAGCCCCCTCCTGCTGCTGCTGAGGGACTTGAAAAGCCACCGGTGGCCACCCCTCAGACCCCTCGTTGATGTCCTGCACGGAGCCAAGGAGGGAGAGCCACCAGTGCCATGCCATCCCCTCTGGTCCCAGTGGGTCATGGCCAACCCCAGTGTGGCCAGGAGCACCAGACCCAAGCAGAGGGGTGTCCGAGGTAGCCCCAGACCCCTGCACCCCAATAACCCCCCCGGCAGAAGGCCAGGCCAGCCAAGAAAGGTCTGCATTAGTCTTATTCCAAGCTCTTTCCCTCCTGGTGGTCCAGCCCTGCCTCCTCCCAAGAGCCCTGTGGGGTGCCAGGGGGCAGAGCTGGTGGCCAGGAGAGCCCCCCCAGCTGCCAAACCTCCACCTCACCCCCCAGCTTCCCTCTCCTTTCCCCCTCCACATCCCTGATGCCCGTGGGCAGCAGAGCCTGTGGGGCCGGGGAGGACTCCAGCAGTGGGGCAGGGTCTGCACACCCAGACCCATGGAACCCCTGGGGACCACGCTGAGGTCCCCATGACCCCATCCACTCATGCCCACAGCTCAGTGGGTGAGCAGAGGTGGGGCTGGAGCTCCCAGTCTCCCGGAGCCCCTCTCCCAGTGGGGCTGGAGGACCTGGGGACACCTCCACCCCAACCGGGGGGACCATCCCGTTCTGCCGGTGGCTGCAGGAGGAGCAGGGATGGGTGATGCTTGGTGGGGACCCATCGCTCAGTCCCCCCCCTGCTCTCCCCCCCAAAAAACTCCCTCTGCCAGGGTTGGGCACAGCCTCTCCTCGCTGGGAGCAGAGGGACGGCCACCTCTGTCCCCAAGGAGGGACCTTCCTGCTGCCAGGAGGGGGGTGGTGGCACCGCTCCAGCACGTGTCCGAGGCTCCCGGCACTGCAGCCCCCCCCTTTTTAGTCCCCCCCCTGCCCCTGGCACCTACTTGATGGTTTTCTTTTCACTGCGGCCTCGGCTGGAGTCGGGGGTTCCCACAGTCTCCAGGGATGTCTTGTAACGCTTACCCTGTGGAAAGGAGAGGAGAAGGGGGGTCAGGGGGTGGGCAGGAAGACCCCCACCACCACCACCACCGCACCACAGAGCAGAGGATGGGAGCTACCAGGGCTGCACCTCCATCCGCTGGATGGTTTGACCTGGATTTCCCCTTTTTTCCTTACAACCTCCTGGTCACCCGGCTCCATCCCATCGAGCTGGGCACTAAAACTCCCGGCAGCTTCATCCCTTGGCCCTCACGAACCAGTAAAGGCACTGGGGAGGACTGGTCTGGCCACCCTGGCTCTGGGGCACCATCCCCAAGGGGGCTGGAGAACAGCACGGGGGGGTTCCTGCCCTGCTTCACCCCAAGGACAGAGCAGCAGCCACCACCTGCGTAGCCTTCCACAGCCTCACCGGGGAGGGGGAGGAGGCGGGTAATTTTAGGATTAATTGAACCTGAATTAATTGAGTTCACCTTCCCCACCGAAAGGGAAGAGCTGCCGTATGATAATGAAGCAGGAGCTGGCTCCTAACTGGGGCTTGTAATCAGGGCACTTCACTGTGATTTCCGACAGCAGGTTCAGCGTGCTGCTCCCATCCAGGGCGGACAGGAGCGCAATTAATGCCAATTAGCCAACAATTAGGAAGGGAGGCTGCTCTGCGCAGGTGCGGGGAGGCCGAGGTGGGATGGGAGCAGCTGCTGGAGCAGCTTGGGGTTGTGGACCAGCCCTGTCACCGTGGTGGCCCTGGACCTGCGAGCATCCCTCCTGCAGGGAACGGGGAGGATTTCTCCCTTCTCCTTCTCCCCGGCCTCATCACCCCTGCACGGAGCTGTCTCCTTGGCCGTGCTGCAGCAAAGGACTCCCTGCACCCTCAGCACGGGTGTCCTTGGGCTTGTCCTGCCGGGATCTGCAGGGATACTGGATCTCCTCGGTTGCCCATGGGCTAATCCTGCCAGGTTCTGGAGGGATGCTGGATCTCCTTGGGTGCCCATGGGCTAATCCTGCTGGGATCTGAAGAGATGCTGGATCTCCTTGGATGCCCAGGGGGTAATCCTGCTGGGATCCGCAGGGATGCTGGATCTCCTTGAGTGCCCACAGGCTAATCCTGCTGGGATCTGCAGAGATGCTGGATCTCCTTGGATGCCCAGGGGGTAATCCTGCTGGGATCCGCAGGGATGCTGGATCTCCTTGAGTGCCCACAGGCTAATCCTGCTGGGATCTGCAGAGATGCTGGATCTCCTTGGATGCCCAGGGGGTAATCCTGCTGGGATCCGCAGGGATGCTGGATCTCCTTGAGTGCCCACAGGCTAATCCTGCTGGGATCTGCAGAGATGCTGGATCTCCTTGGATGCCCAGGGGGTAATCCTGCTGGGATCCGCAGGGATGCTGGATCTCCTTGAGTGCCCACAGGCTAATCCTGCTGGGATCTGCAGAGATGCTGGATCTCCTTGGATGCCCAGGGGGTAATCCTGCTGGGATCCGCAGGGATGCTGGATCTCCTTGAGTGCCCACAGGCTAATCCTGCTGGGATCTGCAGAGATGCTGGATCTCCTTGGATGCCCAGGGGGTAATCCTGCTGGGATCCGCAGGGATGCTGGATCTCCTTGAGTGCCCACAGGCTAATCCTGCTGGGATCTGCAGAGATGCTGGATCTCCTTGGATGCCCAGGGGGTAATCCTGCTGGGATCCGCAGGGATGCTGGATCTCCTTGAGTGCCCACAGGCTAATCCTGCTGGGATCTGCAGGGATGTCCAACCTCCTTGGATGCCCATGGGCTAATTCTCTCAGGAGCTGCAGGGATGCTGGATCTCCTTGGATGCCCAGGGGGTAATCCTGCAGAGATGCCCAACCTCCTTGGATGCACATGAGCTAATCCTGATGGGATGCTGGATCTCCTTGGATGCCCATGGGCTTGTCCTGCTGGGATCTGCAGGGATGCTGGATCTCCTTGGGTGCCCACGGGCTGATCCTGATGGGATCTGTAGGGATGCTGGATCTCCTTGGATGCCCATGGGGTAATCCTGCTGGGATTCTGCAGGGATGCTGGATCTCTTTGGATGCCCATGGGCTAATCCTGCAGGGATACTGGATCTTCTTGGATGCCCATGGGCTAATTCTGCTGGGATCTGCAGGGATACTGGATCTCCTTGAGTGCCCACGGGTTAATCCTGCTGGGATGTGCAGGGATACTGGATCTTCTTGGATGCCCATGGGCTAATCCTGATGGGATCTGCGGGGATACTGAGTCTCCTTGGGTGCCCATGGGCTAATCCTGCCAGGTTTTGGAAGGATGCTGGATCTCCTGGATGCCCGTAGGCTATACCTTCTGGGATCTGTGGGGATACTGGATCTCCTTGGGTGCCCACAGGCTAATCCTGCTGGGAAGCACGGGGATGCCCAACCTCCTTGGATGCCCCTGGACCATCCTGCAAGGGGTCAGCCCTGAGCCCAGCCTTGTCCCCAGCCGGCCACAGCGCAGGGCTCGTGGGGACACGCCGGCAGCAGTGGCTGCTGGCCCATTCTCCCCCGGCACTAGCCGACCCGGGGCCAGCCCGGCAGGCGCTCAGCAGCTTTGGCCACGGTTCCTACGCCGCCGTTCCAGCTCCGTGCGCTGTCGAGGGCCGTGTTGGGAACGTGCCTTTCCATTCCCAGCCTGAACGCCATCCCCGGCCAATTTATACTTCTTTGTTCCTCTGCCAGCTTCGTCCTCCAGCCCAACTGGCCCTCACCCTCCCTCCGCCACCTCCTCCTCCAGCCTGCCCTTCCTCGGGTGCCACCAGCCAGGCTTGGTAGCCCCTTCTCACCCATGGTGGCTCCCAACAAGGCTGCTTCATCCCAGCTGGACCCTCTCATCCCTTCCTGGGGGAGCGTTGCCCTCCTCACGGCTCGGGAGGAGTCACCGTGGGCATCTGGTGGGACGGGCACAGATCCAGCAAGGGAACAGGGGATGGATTGTCTGGAGGGGATGGGGAAGGGGAAAGGGGCCAGGATGGAGAAGAGGAAGAGGAAGAGATGGAGAAAAGGTGGGGAAGGGGAAGAGGATGGAGAAGGTGAGAGGACAGGGAAGGGATGGGCATTAGGAAGACAAAGGGGAAGGAAAGAGGAAAGGGGAAGGGGATGGGTGGGATGGAGAAGGGAAAGGGGAAGGGGACTGGTTGGGGAAAGGGAAGGGGAAGAGGAAGAGGTGGGGAAGAGGAAGGCAAAGGAGAAGAGGATGGAGAAGGTGAGAGCATGGGGATGGGGAAGGAATTAGGAAGGAAGGGATGTGGCAGCACTTGACCCAGATCTAAATGTGATGGTGAAGGAAACATGGCCGAGAACACGGCAGGATCATAGTGCCAGGAAGAGGAGGAGGAAGGATGCGAGGCAGGAGGAAGTGCTTCCCCAAGATAAAGGACCCCCCTATGCACCGTGGGGCTCAGGGGGGGAAGCCCCAGGGGGGCTGGGGGGGCTTGGTGGTGCCAGTTCACAGCTCCTGGCACTGCCAGGGACGGGCTGGCCACCTTCCCCTGGGGCTCTTCCAGGCAGGAGGAGCGTGCCCAGCAGGACAGGGGCCAGATTGTTACTGCTCGTGGCAAATATATAGATATATATAGATATATATATATACGTATGTATTTGGAAACTTCCCTTTATGCCGCACAAACAATCTCACCCAAACATTTAATTATCACATCTCCTAAAGAGCAAAATAAAAGCCGCAGCCGGCACCCGCAGCCGCACACCAGGCAACTGCCTCCTCCTCTTGGTAGCCACGCTTGCCCAGCCGTGCACCCCACTGGCCAGGGGGACCCCCATCTGCACCCCAGTCATCCCCCAGGGCTAGAAGGTGGCCAGGACCCCATCCCAGAGGACCCCAGGACCCCGTGCACCCAGTTGGCGTGGGGACACTTACCATTTTGCGCTGGCACCACTGGCAGATCCCGCAGAGGACGATGGTGACACTAAGGCTGACGGTGATGATGGCTGAGACGAGGAGGACGTCGCGGGAGGGAGCCCCTGGGGAGGAGAACAAACCAGAGCCACCGCTCAGTGAGGGGACAGGGAGATGGGGGGGGGGTCACCCTGGGTCCCCAGCCCTCCCCGGGAGCTCAGGTGGGAGCAGAGCAATGGCTTTAATCTCTGGTGGCTCCCCGGGAGCGCTGGCGTGTCCAGCAAAGGTCACAGCATTACCAGGGGCCTCCTGTAGCTCCCACCACCTCAGCTCAGCACAGTAGCTTTGTGTAGTAGTTTGTGTTGTTTCCTCTTCCCCTTCCTCTTTTTTTTCCCCTTCTCCTTCCCTTTCCCCTTCCTCTTACTAATGGCCAACCCTTCCCCTTCCCTCTTTCCTTCCCCCTTTGCCTCCCTAATGCCCATCCCTCCCCCTTCCCCATCCCTTTCTTTCACCTTCTCTTTCCTCTTCACCTTTTCCTTCCTCTTTTCCACCTCTTCCCCTTCCCCTTCCCCATCCTGTCCCCTTCCCCCTTCCTCTTTCCTTCCCCTTTGCCTTCCTCAATGCCCATCCCTTCAGCTTCTCCACCCTCTTCCCCTTTTCCATTCTCTTTCCCACCTCTACCCCCTCCCCATCCTGACCCCCTTCC